GATGAGTCACAGAGATGTTAGGAAGTTTTCTTTTAGCGTGAGAGTAGTGGGAAAATGGAATGCACTTCAGGAACAGGTTGTGGAAGCAAATACTATTCATAATTTTAAAACCAGTGTGTACTCACAATTAGGTGAGTACACACACACTACCCCACACACATCACACACACACACACACACACACACACACACACACACACACACACACACACACACGCACACGCACACGCACACGCACACGCACACGCACACGCACACACACACGCACACGGTGGCTGAGCAGACAGCGCGCTGGAAGCGTGATCCTGTGGTCCCGGGTTCGATTCCCAGCGCCGGCGAGAAACGATGGGCAGAGTTTCTTTCACCCTGATGCTCCTGTTACCTAGCAGTAAAGAGGTACCTGGGAGTTAGTCAGCTGTCACGGGCTGCTTCCTGTGTGTGTGTGTGTGTGTGTGTGTGTACTCACCTAATTGTGCTTGCCGGGGTTGAGCTCTGGCTATTTGGTCCCGCCTCTCAACCGTCAATCAACAGGTGTACAGGTTCCTGATATCATATCTACACTTGAAACTGTGTGTGGAGTCAGCCTCCACCACATCATTTCCCAATGCATTCCATTTGTCAACCACTCTGACACTAAAAAAGTTCTTTCTAATATCTCTGTGACTCATTTGGGCACTCAGTTTCCACCTGCGTCCCCTAGTGTGTGTGCCCCTTGTGTTAAATAGACTCTCTTTATCTACCCTATCAATTCCCTTGAGAATCTTGAATGTGGTGATCATGTCCCCCTTAACTCTTCTGTCTTCCAGTGAAGTGAGGTTTAATTCCCGTAGTCTCTCCTCGTAGCTCATACCTCTCAGCTCGGGTACTAGTCTAGTGGCAAACCTTTGAACCTTTTCCAGTTTGGTCTTATCCTTGACTAGATATGGACTCCATGCTGGGGCTGCATACTCCTGGATTGGCCTGACATATGTGGTATAAAAAGTTCTGAATGATTCCTTACACAAGTTTCTGAATGCTGTTCTTATGTTGGCCAGCCTGGCATATGCCGCTGATGTTATCCTCTTGATATGGGCTGCAGGAGACAGGTCTGGCGTGATATCAACCCCCAAGTCTTTTTCTTTCTCTGACTCTTGAAGTATTTCATCTCCTAGATGATACCTTGTATCTGGCCTCCTGCTCCCTACACCTTTCTTCATTACATTACATTTGCATGGGTTAAACTCTAACAACCATTTGTTTGACCATTCCTTCAGCTTGTCTAGGTCTTCTTGAAACCTCAAGCTGTCCTCCTGTCTTCATCCTTCTCATAATTTTGGCCTCGTCCGCAAACATTGAGAAAAATGAATCTATACCCTTCGGGAGATCATTTACATATATTAGAAACAAGATAGGACCGAGTACAGAGCCCTGTGGGACTCCACTGGTGACTTCACGCCAATCTGAGGTCTCACCTCTCACCGTAACTCTCTGCTTCCTATTGCTCAGGTACTCCCTTATCCACTGGAGCAGCTTACCAGCTACACCTGCCTGTCTAACAAGCTTATGTACCAGCCTCATATGCAGTACTGTGTCAAAGGCTTTCCGACAATCCAAGAAAATGCAGTCCGCCCAGCCTTTTCTTTCTTGCTTAATCTTTGTCACCTGGTCGTAGAATTCTATTTACGAAGTCAGGCAAGATTTACCCTCCCTGAACCCCTGTTGATGGGTGGTCACGAAGTCCCTTCTCTCCAGATGTGTTACCAATTTTTTTCTCACGATCTTCTCCATCACCTTGCATGGTATTCAAGTCAAGGACACTGGCCTGTAGTTTAGTTCCTCTTGCCTATCGTCCTTTTTGTATATTGGGACCACATTCGCCGTCTTCCATATTTCTGGTAGGTCTCCCGTCTCCAGTGACCTACTATACACTATGGAGAGTGGCAAGCAAAGTGCCTCTGCACACTCTTTCAGTATCCATGGCGAGATCCCATCTGGACCAACAGCCTTTCTAATATCCAGATGCAGCAGGTGTCTCTTGACCTCCTCTCTCGTAATTTCGAACCCTTCCAAGGCCGCCTGGTTTACTTCCCTTTCTCCTAGCACAGTGACCTCACCTTGTTCTATTGTGAAGACCTCCTGGAACCTCTTGTTGAGTTCTTCACACACCTCTTTGTTATTCTCTGTATACCTGTCCTCGCCTGTTCTAAGTTTCAATACCTGTTATTTCACTGTTGTTTTCCTTCTGATGTGACTATGGAGTAGGTTTGGTTCGGTCTTGGCTTTGTTTGCTATATCATTTTCATAACTTTTCTCTGCTTCTCTTCTCACCCTGACGTACTCATTCCTGGTTCTCTGGTATCTCTCTCTACTTTCTGGTGTTTTGTTATTCCGGAAGTTCCTCCACGCCCTTTTGTTCAGTTTCTTTGCTTCCATACATGCCCTATTATACCATGGATTCTTCTTTTGCTCTTCGGATTTTTCCCTTTGGGCCGGGATGTATCTGCTTACTGCCTCCTGACACTTTTGGGTGACATAGTCCATCATATCTTGTACAGACTTATCTCTGAGGTTTGTGTCCCAAGGTATTTCCCTTAGGAAACTTATCATCTCTTCATAATTCCCCTTTCGGTATGCCAGCCTTTTGTTTCCTAGTTCTCTTTTGGGGGAGATAATTCCTAGCTCTACCAGGTACTCAAAGTTCAATACACTGTGATCACTCATTCCCAAGGGTGCTTCCATCTTAACTTCCCTTATATCCCACTCATTTAGGGTAAATATCAAATCAAGCATTGCTGGTTCATCTTCTCTCATTCTTGTTAGTTCCTTGTTGTGCTGGCTTAGAAAGTTTCTTGTTGCCACGTCCAGCAGCTTAGCTCTCCATGTTTCTGGTCCTCCATGCGGGTCTCTGTTCTCTCAATCTATCTTCCCATGGTTGAAGTCTCCCATGATTAGTAGTCCAGATCCATTCTTGCTAGCAACAGAAGCTGCTCTCTCTATTATGTTAATGGTGGCCATGTTGTTTCTATCATATTCCTGTCTGGGTCTCTTGTCATTTGGTGGTGGATTATATATGACTACAACTAAAATTTTTTGCCCTCCAGTTGTTATGGTACCTGTTATGTAGTCACTGAAACCTTCACAGCAGTGAATAACCATCTCCTCAAAATCCCAGAATTTTCTTACCAGCAGAGCTACACCACCGCCACCTTTTCCTTCCCTCTCTTTCCTCATAACATAATATTCCTGTGGGAACACTGCATTTGTTATGGTTTTCGTTAGCTTTGTTTCTGTGAGTGCTATTATGTCTGGGTTTTCCTCTAGTACCCGTTCTCCAAGCTCATTTGTTTTATTTGTAATTCCATCTATGTTAGTATATATTGCCTTGAGGCTCACTTTCTTCTGTCCCTTCTCAAATCGCCTCCTTGGTGAGTGTTCTGCTGGTGGGGAAAGCTGTTCCATGGGTGCGAGGATTTGTGAGGTGGATAACAGGGTCTCAGAGGATACTGGGATGAGGGGTGCGGGGTCAAGTGAAGGGGGAGAGACAGGGAGGGTATGGGGTGAAAGTGGAGGGAGGACAGGAAGGAAAAGGGGGGAGAGGGGACTTGACAGGAGGAGGGGAGGGGTAGAAGGGTGGGGATTGGGTTTGGGGGGAGAGAGATTTGGCTCAGCATTTGAGTGGGGGCAGAGAGAGTTTGGGGTAGGGGGTTTTCTATGCAGAGGAGGGAAAGTGGGGTTGCCCTCCCCGCTGGTGTTACTAGGTAGCTGGTTGTGGGTTCCCCCCTCGCCTCTGGGGATGTTGTAATGGGAACTGTGATTTCCTGGTTTTCCCCTCTCGCCCCCCTGCGCCTCTTCCTTACTTCTGCCGCCATGGCTCTCTCCTCCCTCGTCATGTCCCTCTGGAGGAATACATTTTTTAATTCTCCCACATATTGCAGGTAGCTCTTCCTTGTTAGAATCTTCTCCTTTGTGTTCTCGTTTGCAAACATTATCTTTAATACACGGTCTCGGTCTTTGTTGTACCAGCCGAGCCTGAAAACCTTCTCAATGTTATGCTCAGCTCCTGCCATATCTAGTGCCTTCAGTATTTCATTCACTGCCGCTTTGTCCTTGTCATTCCACCCTGTCCTATTGGAGCCTTCCTGCTCTTTAATACCCACAGCTGTGGGTATTAAAGAGCAGGAAGGCTGTGGGTTGTGTGTGTGGGGGGGGGGGTGAAGGAAAAAAATATAGTAGTTAATAACAGTTGATTGACAGTTGAGAGGCGGGCCGAAAGAGCAGAGCTCAAAACCCGCAAGCACAACTAGGTGAGTACAAGGGGGTATTTACACCTTAATATGGGGCCAGCACGCTACCAGTAAGTGTCGTACACTCTCACAAACGCCACCACTTCCACAGTAGGTACACCGTCCTTGGTCAGCAGAAATATGTACATCTTGTGCGTGTGTTCGATTTGAAAATGAGTGAGCACAATCTCTTGGTGACACGTCATGCTGGTGCGTTCCAAATTTACACAATAAAATATTATACTGGTGAAAATGATACGGAAGGAAATGGATAACAGACCCAGGAGAGGGGTAGAGGTCCTCCTTCAATATATCAGAGAACAGCTCATACATCAGAGAACAGCTCATACATCAGAGAACATTATGAACAGAGAACGCTGATAATAGATAACACTGTATGAACATGAGAGGTCCACGGCTGTTCAATATCGTCCCAGCGAGTATAAGAAATATTGCCGAAACAACGGTGGACTTCAAGAAACAGTTATACAAGTTCCTGCAAGAAGTGCCGGACCAACCGGGCTGTGGTGGATATGTGTGCCTACAAGCTACTCCAAGCAACAGCCTGTTGCACCAAGTTATCACAAGACATGCCTGGAGCAGGGCCGGGCATGGGGAGTACAAGAACTCCCAGAACCCACTCCACGTATACTCCAAATATTTCTGGAGCTAAGAGTGGCCTCCCAACCTGTTGCTAAGACTAAATAGAACTTGATTTAATCCATACAGAAAAAAAAATTAGGAAAGGTACCCTTCGTCGAGGGCCTTTGGTACCCCTTGGGAGGACCTTTGGTACCTCTCGGGAGGACCTTTGGTACCCCTCGGGAGAACCTTTGGTACCCCTCGGGAGGACCTTTGGTACCCCTCGGGAGAATCTTTGGTACCCCTCGGGAGAACCTTTGGTACCCCTCGGGAGAACCTTTGGTACCCCTCGGGAGGACCTTTGGTGCCCCTCGGGAGGACCTTTGGTACCCCTCGGGAGGACCTTTGGTACCCCTCAGGAGGACCTTTGGTACCCCTCGGGAGGACCTTTGGTGCCCCTCGGGAGGACCTTTGGTACCCCCTCGGGAGGACCTTTGGTACCCCCTCGGGAGGACCTTTGGTACCCCTCGGGAGGACCTTTGGTGCCCCTCGGGAGGACCTTTGGTACCCCTCGGGAGGACCTTTGGTACCCCCTCGGGAGGACCTTTGGTACCCCTCGGGAGGACCTTTGGTACCCCTCGGGAGGACCTTTGGTGCCCCTCGGGAGGACCCTTGGTACCCCTCGGGAGGACCTTTGGTACCCCCCGGGAGGACCTTTGGTACCCCTCGGGAGGACCTTTGGTACCCCTCGGGAGGACCTTTGGTACCCCTCGGGAGGACCTTTGGTGCCCCTCGGGAGGACCTTTGGTACCCCTCGGGAGGACCTTTGGTACCCCTCGGGAGGACCTTTGGTACCCCTCGGGAGGACCAAGTGGCTTTTGCCATTCTTGGCCAAACTTGTTGTCAGACAAAATGCTAAAATGAGATGCATCTAGTCCAAAGATTCCCGGACTTGAAATACGCTCACGGAATACCTAAAAATATTTCATTGTAACAATTATAGCCTTAAAAGTGACCAAGACAAAAGAGAAGGAGTTTGTGAGGTGACCTTTCCCACCGTCCCGTCACCTCACATTGTAACCTGCATCCAACTGGTACCTTAATGAGGCGTTACAGGTGAGTGATGCCTCATTAGGGCTCTAATGAGGCTCTACGTCACTGAAAGAGTTAGGGGGGAGACATGATTACAATATAGAAAATTCTCAGGATAATTGGCAAGACAATTGAGTGATGCCTCATTAGAGCTCTAGCTCAGACAAAGACCAGTCTTGTATCATTCTTTGTCTTCATTATAAATAGAATGAAATGGGGGACACCCCCCCTCCCATCTACCCCATTCAGCCGTTTGCAGGAGGGGGGGGGGGAGGCTCTGTCACTCAAACATGCCTACACCTGGTCACGTTTGACTGGCCATGACAGCAGACTGTGAGGCAGCTACTGTAGAAGTTATCTTGCTAGTGTGACTGAGGAGCAACACTGCTGCCACGACTGACAACCCCAGCAACACCGATCACTGTTGAAGGAAACACAAGTTCGTACACTCTTGTTTAAGGCGTTAAGAACACCGGTGTTCCAGCAGGGGGCTGGACGCTGGTGTGTGTGCACGTGGCCCACCAGCACCTCCCCTATGATAAAAGTTTACACATACTGGTGGTGAAGGCCGACACCACCACCCACACCCCTGTATTATCCCTGCCTGCCATACACTCATCATACCCCTGTATTATCCCTGCCTGCCATACACTCATCATATCCCTGTATTATCCCTGCCTGCCATACACTCATCATACCCTTGTATTATCCCTGCCTGCCATACACTCATCATACCCTTGTATTATCCCTGCCTGCCATACACTCATCATACCCTTGTATTATCCCTGCCTGCCATACACTCATCATACCCTTGTATTATCCCTGCCTGCCATACACTCATCATACCCCTGTATTATCCCTGCCTGCCATACACTCATCATATCCCTGTATTATCCCTGCCTGCCATACACTCATCATACCCTTGTATTATCCCTGCCTGCCATACACTCATCATACCCTTGTATTATCCCTGCCTGCCATACACTCATCATACCCTTGTATTATCCCTGCCTGCCATACACTATACAAGCTCGTCTTCCATAGACCATACACCCACTATGCCCCCCAGCCTCCATGCCCTTGATACACAGAGTGCAGGTGAATCTATGTATCTGTGTCTGTCTGTTTTTATAGTATTGGGAGTCATAAAATTTCTTCCGATATGCTTATTTGTTTTGTTTAGTTTCAGCAGGTGTGGGCACAGGTGTGGATGGCTTGTGATCCTGCTAGCGGGCTCAGGGCCCCTCCCACTGCAGGTGTGGGCACAGGAGTGGATGGCTTGTGATCCTGCTAGCGGGCTCAGGGCCCCTCCCACTGCAGGTGTGGGCACAGGTGTGGATGGCTTGTGATCCTGCTAGTGGGCTCAGGGCCCCTCCCACTGCAGGTGTGGGCACAGGAGTGGATGGCTTGTGATCCTGCTAGCGGGCTCAGGGCCCCTCCCACTGCTGCTCTTAAACCGTGTCCTGCTAATTTCCCTGGAACACTATCTGCCAATCGCCTTACAGCCAGGTCCCAGTTACTACAAGGTGAACATGACTGAACAGTTTGGTACCGGTAACCAATCGTCTCCCAGCCTGGAGGGATGAGTTAAGAGGAAAGACTAAGGAACTGAACCTCACGTCAGTGGAAGAGTTAGAGAAGACATGATTACAACATAGAAAATTCTCAGGAAAATTGGCAGGACAGATAATACCCAAATCAGCAAAATATACTTTACAAATAATTAGTTCACTGTCACAGAAGTGAACCAGTGAAATGCTCAGTAGAGTGGCGGAGCGACTCCAAGCACAGCTATAAATGTAGATATGACAGAGCCCAATAGGCTCGGCACCCTGTGCACCACTTTATTTCTATACACCACACATTCCATTTGTTGTAACACGCCATTTTCCCCAACTTCCTCCTGCACCAACTGCTGCCCCCCCCCCTCCCTCACTGCGGCCCCCCCTCCCTCACTGCGGCCCCCCCCCTCCCTCACTGCGGCCCCCCCTCCCTCACTGCGGCCCCCCCTCCCTCACTGAGGCCCCCCCCCTCCCTCACTGAGGCCCCCCCTCCCTCACTGCGGCCCCCCTTACTGCGGCCCCCCCTCCCTCACTGCCGCCCCCCCTCCCCCACTGCCGCCCCCCCCACATGGTGTACACGCCTCAGGGAGGCAGGCAGCTCCTCTCGTGAATACTGAAGATGGGAATGTAAGGCATCTGGACCCCGCCGACCATAAGACAAGATTGCTATGTAAAACACCTGTGGAATTGTTCAAAGCATCTATCCGTCAGCTGCAGGTCCTGTAGAGACCTTGAAACCCTTCCCATGGTTTAATAGACAGTGTCAGGAAGCAAAAATGGCCAGCAGGCGGGAGTGGAGGAAGTACAGAAGACAAAGAACAGAGAACAACAGGATCAGATGCAACAGAGCTAGGAACGATTACATTACCATATGACGAGCATCGGAAAGGAACTATGAGAACGATATTGCGATCAAAGTGAAAACAACCTAAATTACTATACAGTCATATAAGAAGAAAAATGTCGGTGAACGACCAAGTGACAAGACTAAGGAAGACAGAGGGGGCATATACTGAAAGTGACAAGGAAATCTGCGAGGCACTGAATGCCAGTTTCCATGGAGTGTTCACTACCGAGCCTGAGCAGCTCCCATTGTTGGAAGGGGTTACCCTAGATGAAAGACTATCAGATATAGAGGTGACAGCAGAGGAGGTAATGAAACAGTTGACAACACTGGATGCAACTAAAGCAGTTGGACCAGACAAGACTTGTATCACTGACAAGCATCCCCTGTAAAATACTTGAAATAATAATTAGGCTACAACTGGTTGCACACCTGGAGAACGTACTGGAAGGTTTGTGAACAAACATCAACATTGGTTCTGGAAAGGGAAATCGTGCCTATCTAACCCATTTGGAATTCTATGATAAAATAACGAGGGTAAGACAGGACAGAGATGGTTGGGCAGACTGCATATTTCTGGACTGCCAAAAAGCCTTTGATACAGTATTGCACATGAGACTGCTGTTCAAAACTCGAGAGGCAGGCGGGAGTGGGAGGAAAGGCCCTAGCACGGATAAGGAACTACCTAACAGGAAGGAGCCAAAGAGTTACGATAAGGGGCGAGAAGTCGGACTGGCGAACAGTAACGAGTGGAGGACCTCAAGGATCGGTGCTGGGACCAATTCTATTTCTAATATATGTTAACGACATGTTTACAGGAGTAGAGTCTTATATGTCGATGTTCGCGGATGATGCAAAGTTGATGAGAAGAGTTGTGACAGGTGAGGATTGCAGGATCCTCCAAGAGGACCTGAACAGGTTGCAGAGATGGTCAGAAAAATGGCAACTGGAGTTCAACACGAGCAAATGTAAAGTTATGGAAATGGGACTAGGTGATAGGAGACCAAAGGGACAGTACACAATGAAGGGGAAACTGCCTACCTGTTACGACGCGAGAAAGAGACCTGGGTGTGGACGTAACACCTAATCTATCTCCTGAAGCACATATAAATAGGATAACGACAGCAGTGTACTCCACACTGGCAAAAGTTAGAACATCATTCAGAAACCTAAGTAAGGAGGCAATTAGGGCGCTTTACACTGCCTACGTGAGGCCAGTCTTAGAGTATGCCGTTTCATCATGGAGTCCCCATCTGAAAAAGCATATAAGGAAACTGGAAAAGGTTCATAGGTTTGCAACGAGACTCGTCCCAGAGTTACGAGGGATGGGGTATGAGGAGCGCCTGAAGGAACTGTGCCTTGTAACACCACTATATACTATGAACTAATAATGAAACACAAATATTGTAACATTAATGGTTACACTGATATATCTCCTGAATAACTGGAACCAAAGGTACACTTCTAAGGGAATGCTACACAGGATTAATTACGCTGCCACCATCTGCCTTGTACATCAAGCAACGCGGCAAGAAACATTGCTTGACTTGGAGAGTCCTTTCTTTCTTTAACTGTCATTAATTATGCCCCCCCCCCCCTCTAGAGTTCACACCCAGGGAAGCCTTCTCCAAGAGGTCAGCCCAGATGACCTCTGGATTATCTTGCATGTTGATTAAAAATTCCTGGGTTAGTCTTAGTCAGCTACTTTCAAGTATATAATATTTCATGATACTCTTGTCAAACATTGCAATGTAATTAGACCCCAGATTCTTATGTGTAAACATCCATGGATCTCCCTCTTTTAGCCAGGTCAGAGGTCAGCCACACTCGTAATTAATAATTCCTCTCTTGAACAGTGTATGGTGAATGTCAAACAAGCTTAATGAAAAAATTCTTGAGTGTTTGTGCACGTGTGGCCCGACCTCTTTCGGTGTAGGTAGCAACAGAAAATCTCCCACTTCCCTATTTTGGGGTGTATGTATGGTCCTGTAGCAGACTTAGTTGAGAGAGAGTGCCGGACACCAGGGTCCAGAGTGGGTCTGTGAAGAACATCTCACAGCCAGGGAGAGACAGAGTGAATCCACCGGATGGACAGACAGATGTCTTAAGGTAATGTGTGTGATCTCTGAGGTTTTGTTTCATGTCTAAATTTCTTAACAATTGGCCAGTGTTAGAGTAGGATTTATATTGGTGAATAGCATAATTTGTTCTCGATAAACTCGTGTTAACTTCCCGTCTGTGTCAATTGTTGAATCCTCTTAGCCTCTGGATATAGGGGGCTGACAACCGTCCCATAATTAATGACAGTTAAAGAAAGAAAGGACTCTCCAAGTCAAGCAATGTTTCTTGCCGCGTTGCTTGATATAGTTTAATATACAAGGCAGATG